GACATTTACTAGCTATGTGACCCTGGGCAAGTCACTTAACCCTGTTTGCCTCAGTTTCCTCTTCTACAAAATGAGCTGGAGAAGGAAATGGCAAACCACTCTGTTATCTTTGCCAAGAAAACCCCAAATTGGGTCATGAAGAGTCTAAGCAACTGATCAATAAAACAAATTAAGGATTACAAAGCACTTTCCTCCCAACAACCCTCTGACGTAGAAAGTGCAAATGTAATTAATTTTATGAATGGGGAAATTATGACTCTGCAAAGTTTGCTAACTTGCCCATGATCAGATAACTATTCCTCAACTGAGGCAGAATTCAAATCCAGGTCTCCTGACTACAGTAAGCTATCTCTTACCTAACACTGCAAACTCCTGTCTCCTTGGGAGTAGGTTGTAAAGGCCCTGCTCTCAGGCTGGCTCAGCTTAGAAGAGGCCTCAGTCACAAAAGCAGCTCAATTCTGCCTTTACACATTCTCATCCCTACCCTTTCCAGTATGGACACAAACTCATTAGAGCTCATACTTATTTAATGGCAGGTCATATTCATATTTGGTCAAGTAGGTGGTATAGTAGCTGATAGAGTGCTAGACCCATTCAAATCCAGCCTCATGCCAGCTGCATGACCCTGGGCAAGGCAAGTCATTTTTACCTCTTGTGCCTCAGTTTCTCCATCATAAAATGGGAATAATGATAACAATAATAATAATAATAATAATAATAATAATGATAATGATAATGACAATAATACCTGCCCCCCAGGATTGCTATGAGGCTAAAATTAGAGAATATGTGTAAAGCTCTTTGCAAACCTTAAAGCACTATATAAATGTTAGCTATTATTAGTAGCTATTAAATGTTATGCTTTATAAAGCATTTTCCTCACAGCAATTCTTTGAGTTAGGTGATATAAGTAGTATTATCCCCATTTTACAGATGTAGGAACTGAGAAGTTAAGTGACTTGCCTAAGGTCACACAACTAATGACTTAGGATTAGATCCCCAGGGTCTTTCTGACCCTACATAGATGCCTCTTTCCACTACATAAAGCTTGTCTAGAGGAAAGTGACCAGGCCAGTGAAGGAAAAAATGAGATAATATATGTAAAGTGCCTTACAAACTTTAATGTGCTATATAAATGTTAGCTATATATTATTAGGGTTTTAAAAAGCATTTTCAAACTCTGTCCTCTAAGACTGGGTTAATAGAATTAGAAATGTTTAGCCTGAAAGAGATGGGAAGAATTTGGATAGGATTGGGATAGGAAGGACATGATCATCATCTTCAAATAACTGAAAGACTCTTATGTAGAAGATGGATTAAACTTACCGGATATAAAGGAGGACTTTCTAATAATTATAGTTGCCCAGCAATGGAAGGAGCTGCCTTGTAAATTACTGAACTCCCTGACACAGGAGATGGTTAAGCAGAAAGCCCACCTGCCAAAAATATTGTAGAAAGGATTCTGGGACTGATAATCAATCAGTGAACATTTATTAAGCACCTACTATGTGCTAGGCACTGTACAACGCACAAAAAGAGCAAAATATAGTCCCTGCCCTCAAGGAGCTTACAATCTAATGAGCAAGACAACATGCAAACAAATAAATACAAAGCAAGCTATATATAGGAAATAATTAACATAGGGAAGGCACCAGAATTAAGGGGAGTTGGGAAGGCTGTATCCCTATATGAAGGATTTTACTTGGGACTTAAAGGAAGTCAGTAGTGGCCTTTCTGACCTCTCATGCCCCTTCCCACTCTCAGATTCTATGCTGCTATGATCCCACCTGTTCTACTGTCCTGCCAAGGAATGCTGGAAGAATCAAAAGCACTGCCCAGATTTGGGGTGGTTTGTTGAATGAGAATGTTACAATTACTGCCATGCACTGCTGGGTTGGGGAGCTCTTGTCCTGGAGACCTACACAGCTGACACTCCCAGAGACCCTTTCTAAGGTCCATCCCAGCA